ATCCCTGGAAGGGTCCAAGGCCAGGCTGGATGAGGCTTGGAGCAACCTGGTCTAGTGGAAGGTGTCCCTGCCCATGGCAGGGGGGTTGGAACTAGATGATCTTTAAGGTCAAGGTCCCTTCCAACCCAAACCAGATCAGGATTCTGTGATACTGATCACACCCCGCGACACCCAGGTTCAGGTCCTGCTCGTCACTAGGAAGTAAAAATTCACATTCGCCACAGCATTGTGAATTTTTAAACAATGGCAGGAATATGTCAAAATGTCTAGAGTTACTTCATTCCCTCTCTCAGATCTTAGGGCAAATGAGGAGGCAATGAACTGTTTTGTAAGGGTAGGACTCATCCCGCCTGACTGCTGGTGTTTGCAAGTCCCTGTCAGGGGATGGAGACAGACTCTTAGGGAGCATGAGTCAACCCCCCCTGTCCCACACATGGATCTTAGGACAAGGTGAATCACTTTCTGGGGGTGTCTGCCTCTCTCTGGTGACTCGAGGAGACATTCAGATGACTATCAGCAGGCGTGGTACCGTGCAATGGGAGTGACTCAACACACGTATTCTCAGCCAGCTCGGTGCAAAGACTCTGATTAGTGTAGGTTTCTGCACTGAAAACTTTACAGTGGGAAGAGCCTTTATGCATACACAGGGTTTTTGTTCCTGGTGCATGTTTTTCCTCTCTCTATTCTAGAATAAATGAACCCAACAGAAACATTTTTAAGCCAGTGTGACTTATCTGTCTCTTGAGGGTTGGCGCTGCTGGAGTTTCAGGTACATCTAATGCCGTAGAAGTTTCTACTGTAACAGCACTAAAAAAAAAGACAGTACATGACATTTATTTTCTGCTAATCATGGGAAGTTTTTAAACTGAATAGCGAGAAGATACCTCAACAAACAGGAATTATACAAGTAGCATCACTTAAGAATTGTGTGGCATTGCTCAGCCTTTTAAAACTCTTATGTCTGTCAAAAATGTAACACATCTGGTAGGCTAAAAATAAGTCTAATCTACGTCTGTTTGGGGCTGAGGCTATTTCCATCCATTACAGTCCCCAAGTCCTATATGCAAGTGTTTCTTTTTGAGGACTTAGAACTGGGGGAAAATTGCTCTTTTCTTAAAGATGGTGGCCTAAAGCTTCCCTCTGTGATAAGGCCACTGATCTTACTGGTTTGTGCTTTGTTGTTTTTTTTTAAAATTCAGTCTGAAATGCAAATGCAGGTGTGAGCCCAAAGGCAAGGTATGTAGAGAGAGATCTGAGGGCTGGCAGAAAGGCACAGTTCTGGTGGGCCTGCAGGCTGGGAGAATTTCCATGAGGAGCAGAGATGGAAGTCTGCCATCCTTCCTGGCCACCCTTTCCATCACTCTCCTCCAGACATAGCTGGGCTGGAAGGGAGGACATCTAACTCCACCACACTGTGGGGTAGGCTGCTCAAGAAGAAGATAAAGTTTCTAGAGTGAGGTCTGAAGAGCCAATGCATCTTCCTTCCATCCCCCTGGGAGCCAGATCCTTGCGGGCAGAGGGAAAAGTGAGAAGAAAACAGGAGAAGAAGGAATTTAGGGGTTTTAGACATTTTAGCTGTTTAGCCCTGGGAAGCTGTGGCAAGCTGCTCCTTGGCTTTTCTGGAAGTACTAAAAGCAGAATAGAGCTGGATTTGTTTTGCAGCATGTTACACATCAGAGATGGAGGGGCATTTGTTATTGTTTGTTCTGCTTGAAACCATTAGCATTTTTCCTTTACCCCATGCTCCCAGAGGAATCTTCAGCAAAGACCAAATCAAAGCACAGCTACAAAATTTATCTTCCCAGACATGGATCTTAGTCCATCATTTCTTCCCTCACCTGTAGAGCAGTTGTCCAGTGAGCAACAGCGGGAGCAAAGGAATGAGATGCCAGTGGCCTTCTCCCAGGAGTCTGTCAATTCATTTTTAGTATGATGCTTTGCTCAATGAGTTGTTCAGTTTGCCCTGGCGATAATCAAAGTTACTGTATTTTTAAGAGCCCCTGAAGTGTGACAGGGCACTATTTAATCCACTGAAGCAAATAAACAGTTTAAGTACTGGTTGTGATGGGGAATAAGATCAGACCCCTTTGGAATATCATGGGGTACCTGCCCCATGCCAGGGCACAGGGGGATGGGTTGGGAATCGAGGGTGACCCCAGTGCAGGCGATGGCCTCACTGATGGAAGCAGTACCGCAGGGTCTGAGTGCACTGGGCAGAGCTGCATGTAGGTAATGCCTCCCTCAACAGACAAGGAAAGGGGATGGACCAGATCCACGGTCTCCTCAGGACAAGGGGTAATGGGTTAAAATTGAAAGCAGGGAGGTTTAGATTAGATATCAGGAAGAAGTTCTTCCCAGAGAGGGTGGGGAGGCACTGGGACAGGTTGCCCAGAGAAGCTGTGGATGCCCCATCCCTGGAAGTGTCCAAGGCCAGGCTGGATGAGGCTTGGAGCAACCTGGTCTAGGGGAAGGTGTCCCTGCCCATGGCAGGGGGGTTGGAACTAGATGGTGTTTAGGGTCCCTTTCAACCCAAACCATTCTATGATTCTATGATTCAGGGGTCCCACCAGGAGCAGAATGAGACAGGGATGGGGACACAACTGCGTCTTGGATCTGCGGTCCATCCAGGAGACAGAAACGGAAAAAAAGCTACCTCCAATATAGGTCTTGGGTCCATCCTGGAAACAGAACGCTGGAGGAATCAGATTCTTTGTTTTGGGACAATTTGAAGGGTATTGATGAGTCTTGATGTTCCCTGTAATTATATATTCATCTCCATGGGACCACAGGGTGACAAAAATAATTACCAACTCCCAATATTTCCTGAAGGTGATGGCAAACAGGATTCCTGAATAAGGCAGAATGGAGTACAAGTCAATGTGACTGTTGCTTGTATGAGTTTGTTTTAGAATAAAAAAGATCCAGGCACTTACAAGGAATATAGATATTCTGCTCTTGCTGTGGTGCACTGCAGGATGGACCCCTTTCTACAGAGAGGAACTTTCATGCTTGGGCTGCAGCATTTACATGGGATCTGGATTTCAAATGTGGATCTAACTGGGATGAGGACAGGCTGCGCCCTGTAAGAAGAGCGGAGCTGGGGTGGGGTGGCAGAGCCAACAGCTCAGGAGTATGGGCTTAATGTGCTGTGTCAGAGAACTCCTCACTACAGCCTCATTTCCAATTCCCACACTGATATTTCTGTTTCTCTCCTCTAGACTAAGGACAACCTGACGTGAGTTGAACCTTTGGGCTGCTGAGCCTGCCCCGATGCAATAATTTAGTGAGCAGATGATGTTTTCAACCAAACCTCCTGTCTAACTCAGTGGATCTGTGTGTCTTCCGGCAGGTGTGTCCTCTGTGGCCTCCCTGATGTCCCTGGCTTGGGTGCTAGCCTCCTATCACAAGCTTCTTCGGGACTCTAGGGACGACAAGAAGAGTATGAGCTACAGAGGGGCCCTCATCCATGTCTTCTGGCGCCTCTTCACCATCTCATCCCGAGTTATTTCTTTTGCTCTCTTTGCTTCCATCTTCCAGCTCTACTTTGGGATCTTTGTAGTGGTCCATTGGTGTGCCATGGCTTTCTGGATCATCCATGGTGGGACAGATTTCTGCATGTCTAAGTGGGAGGAGATCCTCTTCAACATGGTGGTAGGGATTGTGTACATTTTCTGCTGGTTTAATGTCAAGGAAGGGCGGACTCGATACAGAATGTTTGCGTATTACACGGTAGTCCTGACGGAGAACGCTGCCTTGACGCTCCTTTGGTATTTTTACAGAGATCCTGACACTACTGACTCATATGCCGTGCCAGCACTGTGTTGTGTCTTTCTTAGCTTTGCTGCTGGGATAGCTTTGATGCTGTTATATTATGGTGTGCTGCATCCCATGGGGCCAAGAGCTAAGATCTTTGCCAGCTCCTGTTGCGCCGAGCTGCTCTGGGGCATTCCTTTGCCCCCCGATGTTGAGCCCATGGCGCCCCAAACCCCTGGGTACCGGGGGGCCCAGGCTACGCCCACCAGAGCGGTCACGGAGCAACAGGAGGAACTCACAGCTGACACTTGCTTGCCCGTTTTCCAGGTGAGAGCAATGGTACCATCTACTCCATCTGGGCGACCCTACCCCCCCGAGGGGCCTCTCATTAAGATTGACATCCCAAGAAAAAGATATCCTGCATGGGATGCTCATTTTGTAGACAGGAGGTTAAGAAGAACTATCAACATCCTCCAGTATGTCACCCCCACAGCTGTAGGTATTAGGTATAGAGATGGACCTCTCTTATATGAGTTGCTACAATATGAATCTTCACTTTAAAAGCTCCTTAAAGCAAAAGTAAAAGAGGGGACCTTATTTTTGTTTACGGTAAACACAGATCATGAAACAAACACAAACCTTCAGATAAGCTTTCTTTCTGGTTGCTGTATGTATAAAAAAAAGAAAAAAGATATTCTCTATGTTTTGTAAGTAAAAACAAAAAGAAAAACTTTTCTTTTGTTTTTTACACACAAGAAACAGTATTTCAACTTCCACACCTAGGATTCACAGGTGGAGAAGGAGGCATCTCCACATCAGTTTTATACCGTACACCAAGTGTAGAACATTATTTATGGGATTGGTGCTGATTGAAAAATAAAAAAAAAAAAAAACAAACAAACCTACAACTGCCTTATGCCCTTAGGTGCTGAGTTTCATTAAGTACTGTCACCTTTCTCATGCAAAACTCTTTGATGATTATATGCCAGGAAAAAAAAAAAAGATGAACCAACTGAAATACAAAACTTAAAAATAAAAAAAAAAAAAGAGGAAAAAGAAAGAAAGAAACAAATGAACAACAACAACAAAAAGAGAGAAATGTCTAAAAAAAAAATATCGTGCTGCTCCTATTGGATTTACCAGGAAAAAAAAAAAAAACACACGTCTAAAGATAAGAAAGCGAAGCCAAGACACCCCCAACGGAGTTTGAGTTTTCCGACAGTTGGGAGACAAAATCCGGTCTGTAACTCCATTTGGCGTTGCGTTTAGAGCACCGCTTGGCCAAGCCTGCGAGCCTCGGCCGAGCCGTGTTGTAAGGGCGACCCCCACCCTGTGACCCTGCTCCTGGGGTAAACGGGCCGTGCCGAACGGTCGGTTTGCACCGGATTAACGTGGCAATACAGTACCTGATCTTGTTTCCAACAACTGCACGCTGCAGTGCCACTGACTTCAGTGGAGTGAATGGCAAATGTCTGAGCCCAGAATAAGGCCTGCCACCTTGATTTCGGAAAAATAAGAAATCTGCAAACGTTGAAATTATATACTGAAAGAAAAAAGGATACTAAAGTACATTTACACGTATCTAATAACTATTTCAGTAATAATAAAACTCAGCATAGTAGCAAAAAGCGAGTCAATTTAAAGGCACAATACTTGATCAGTGACTGGCAAAATAATTTGACCTACTGTATCATTTTAAGGCTGTGAAAGGCATACATGTATTATTTGTAATCTCGTGTAAGACCCGTCATGTCTCATTCAGTGCGAGCCTTAAAGTGATTGTAAAGCATCCTTCGTTCCATTTTGGGGTTTGGGGGTTTTGATTTTTGTTTTGTTTTTTGAAAGGAAAACAAAACATGAAAATCGGTATTAAAGCAAGCGAACGAAAACAACCAAACAACAACAAAACAACCAACAAACTTCTTCAAACAGTGATAACCTGTAAACTGACTCACGTCTCGAGATGATTTGGTGCTTTGTATTTTTGTTGATGTTGTTGTTGTGATTTAGCTGAGAATTCTTCAACTCGGTACACGTGGGGAACTGCTGATAAAAACTGTCTCGTGTCACCCTCTACTGTAAGTACATGGCGAGAAACACCACCGGAGGAGATCCGAGAGCGTAGCGAGAGCGTCGTGGTTTAGCTTAGCCTTCTCACTGCAAGGAGATGCTGCCACCTCCGATGATGGCAAAGCCTAGACGGTCACCTGCTGAGGGTTGTGCGGTTGTCCTGACATTTCCAAATAACCCCCTCGGTGTCTGAACATTCACATCTCTCAACTTCTGTTTCTGTGCTGGATTCTCCTGGGTTTGAGTTAAAACACGGGTTTGCGTCCGACACCCTTTTCCGTTTCGAGAGTATTGCTCCTTTAAAGCAATTCCCGTTTCAGGGCATCTTTTCAATCCCACCATCCCTCTGCTTGGGAGGGAATAACAACAACAACAAAATGCGATATTTTTAAGTGAATGCTGTAGTATTTATGTGTGTAATTACAATTTTTTATTCCAGAAATACTGTAACTGTCTAGGGTGCAAAACTCCCATGCTGACCTATTCTGAAGAGAAGATCAGCATGGGGGGAAATTTTTTAATTATTATTATGATTTATGTTATTCATTTGAGAAATTGGTTGGTTTTTTAAATTATAATAGTGTTTAAAGAAACTAGTACCAATTTTGTATAACAGTTTAAAGAAGCTGAATGCTTTCTTCGCCTGAATATACCTGAAGAGAAACATTTTTTTCAGTCAGTGATCTTTTGCAGTGTTCTGAGAAAACATTGGGGTTTCTTCAGTTGTTTCATTTTGTTTTGTAAAGAAAACTTTTAACTGGTGTCTGTCCCTTTTAAGGAGGGCAGGACTCGTTCACGCCAAACTAGAGACACACGGCAAAGTTTATAAGAAGCCAAATTGTCACTGGTACTGTAATTCCCAGTCAAACTCCATTTCAGGCAAATGTTTCTGGGCTGTGATTACAACCAAGATGATGGTCACATTTTCATGCAAAGGGAGGGGTTTTGTCTTGTCATCCCCTATCTAAATTCCCATCCCCTTGTTTACTGTGCACATAAATATATATACACGCCGTTATATATATTTGCGAAAAGCTTTCATTTCCTTTCTCCGTTGTCTGTGTCCCATAACCAGTCCCTTCTCAAACGACCTACTAACTTTTCACCCTGTTTCTTCCCTAATCAGTATGCTGTCTCCATAAAAAGAGGTAATTTGTGAAGTGAACGTGCTGTCCCCAGCTACAGCGTCACAAGGACACAGAGGTGCCTATCCTCCAGCAACAGGCCTGAATTTCTCTTCCCAGGACTTTATTTTGACTTACCTTTAGTACTAGTGCAGACTTCCTCTGATCCGGTTCCCCTGTGCGAAGACTTTCCTTGGTCCTTCTCTACACATCTGCATTTCATTGGCATAAGCATGAGAAGGGAATGGATGACAAACCACCCTGCTGTTCGTCGGGGACCTGTCTCCCAGGAGGTAGCATCCTCATCTTCAAAAGCACCAAGAGAAGGTCCCCCTTCCCGAACTTGTCAACCTTTAGGTCTGGTTTGGAGATGTGATATCCCCTCCCCCCACTGAGCAGCCGGACCCTGCCGCTTCACGCCAGGATGGTGAAATGAGTCGACAAATCGAGGCACACCCATCAGGAGTTGAGGAGGAGACCCTTCAGTGTCGCCTCTCATGAGCATCTGCAAGCCTGCCTTCCCTCAGGAACGGGACCCTTGCTCCAGACCGCCACACCAACAGCCGTCCTCTCCATCCCGTTACGGGAGCGGAGGGGCAAACCACTCTAGAAGTGACCTTACCTCTCAATGCAGTGCTAATTTCTCACAGCCAAACCAGCTTGACTAAGGGCTTGACACACCTTGCTCCAAAGTCCTCCTTCTTTGTGGCTCGTAGGATGGATAACAACGAAGGCAGGTACCTCCACTGCGTGTTAAGACTCTTTCATTACACTTCGTTGCATAAACTTTCTGCCTCCGCTATTAGTCCTTCTTTGCGTTGTATCCACTGGCATCTTGATTTAGCAAAAGATTTCCAGTGAGAGCCTGTGTCAACCCTGAAGAGCTCTGTCTCTTTGAAGGACTTCATTACAGCCTTAACGTAAAGCACGTGCTCTACCACTACACCCGGCGAGTTCACGGTGGACAGTTGGGTGTGGTGACCATTTCCTCTTGGGATTATCTGTGATCTTATTGCCAAACAGCGCCTTTTGCCAAGCCAAAAGCTTGGGGAGCAAAATTACCCCCAGCTCTTTAATGGTACTAATCTCAATGCTGAGAGGCTAGTCCTCGCCTGCAGTGTTTATATGCCCAGGGTCCCTTTGATTTTTGGTGGGCACTTTGGCAGGACACTCAGTGACTCGCTTTGGTTTCACTTGATTTTTAACTCCTCAGCTTCTCCCTGGTAGGTTAGTTACACCGTGTCCCTTGCCAGAAAACTGCATGAGGGGTTTTTCAGACTGTCATGGAGAAGGTTGAGTCCATATTTATTCACATCACAAGACCAGTGGGCAACTTCTCTGGCACGTGTGCTGCTGGATTCACCCTGGGATCATCTAAACCAGCTGACTGTGCCGTGCTGGGGCACGAGGGCTCCACCATCCCCAGTGTTACAGCCTTCCTGGCATGGTTTTGACCCACTCCAACGAGCCGTGGGCTCCGGCACAGCCTGCGCAGGCGTTGATGATGGCCAGAGTCCATCCCCAGTCCGCAGCCTGGATGCAGCCGCTCTTTGTCAGGGGTGAAAGAATTTAGTAGAACTTGGTGAGAACTTGTCAGTTGTCTTTGTGGCCAGAGTGGATGCTGGCAGTGCTTAATTTACTAATAAAGATGTAACTATATGTCACAGACCAGGATTCAGGACTTGGTGGTGTACTACATCATCTCCGGTCCTGTATTTTTCTGGATATTTTTCCCAACTCAACGGACAAGGTATTTTTTCATTCACTTTTCTCTTTTTGCTGAGGTTATTCTGCAAACAACGTCATTTTTATGGTGCTGATGTCAACCCATCCATCCCTCCATCCATGTCAGACGGCTGGCGTCCTTAGTGTGATGGCGTTATACATCCGTAGGCAGCTCATTTGGGGACAGGAATGATTCAGACCAGACCAAATCAACAACGGAAATACAGGAATTACAAGGTCCCTGCCCATGCCCTTGTCATGCTTTGCCACCCACACAACGTATTTCTCATCCAAAGCATACCCAAACTGAACTGCAGAAGAGGAGCCAATGTTGTATAATTACCGGTGGAAAGGGCAAGTGAGACACCGATTTCAAGTGTAAATATATATATTTTCAGCACATTGGATTGGAGCTAATTGTCTGCTTCATCCCATCCTTCTCCACACCTGCCAAAAGCCAGTAGTCATTTACATGTATTTTTATTTAAAGCTGACTAGATGAAACAGGGCAAAATTAATTTCAAGCCAGTGGTGTGCTAAAACCTGGCTGATGCTGCTCGCAAGGGGAGCATCGCTATCGACTTTCAGGGCACCATCGTCCCTTGCTCTTTAGATCTGTTTTTCTGCACACGAGATTCACTTCACAATTTATCCAGTTCCTTGTCCCTGCACACGAATGCACGACACATACCTGCAGCATGGCTAAACCTCCCGAAGAAAATGTGGTCCGAGGTTCATCCAGCGTGATTTCGTTGAAGCTCAGAGGTGCTTTGAAAAGGAGAACTTACTACTGTGCATTTGCAAAACCTTTTAGTGCCTGCTTGCTGGGCAGCTTGGGCAAGAGACAATTTGGAAGCTGCCAGAGTCAGAGGAAAATTGTGGAGACAGGCTTTTCTAGGATCTCTTCTTTTACTGGGTTAGCTTTCCTCTGAATTCGGTTCAGATTGAAT